TTTCCAAATAATTACAGATGTATCACTAAATACAAAATTCTGAAAAAAATGCATGACATTTTTTCTAAAAATTCTTCATCTACTCTACAAAGGTATATCTTACTGCACAAAAAGATGACGTAATTTCGGTGACAGAATAAAGAGTTGCTGAAGACTGAGCTACTTTGTCGTCAAACACAAACCCCTGCTTTCTTCCCCTCTTCGGAAATGCCCTAGTCCCAGTAGCTTATTAAGAGTCTTCCTTTGTTCTCTAACTTTTCCAAACGGACGCAACAAAAGATCTTCACAGGGCTTTTTGACTACGCCAACCAAGCATGCAAACCAAGAGATCCCGCAACATCAACCATTTCCACCTCCTCAACCTTCTTTGAGCCAAGTGCTTTCTTCGCCGCTGTTGCCCGTCAAAGTTTTTTTTGACTAAAATTGTTTTGCTATTAAAATTAATAACCCTATTAACTTCGTCTCACAACTGCTAGGCGTAGTCTGACGCATTCTACTGTTTCTCAGCAAATTAGATGAGTTATGCAATTTTAGTTTCTACTTTGCTCATAACAACATTCTGCTGCACAAAGATTCAAAAAATGTCACCTATACAATATTGGTTTAATCCCACGTTTACCTGAACTTGGGATTTCTTCAAAGTGGGGAACACATGTACTCCACTCTGTCGCCTTCAAGACGTAAATAAAATAACTCCTTCAGCAGTGATGCAAACACGTAAGCAAAGCAGAAGGCCTACGAAACTGTCAGCTAAACTGCTTATTTCCCGGGCAAAGCAGTAAAACAACTTGGCTGAAGCAATTTGAAAAGCCGAGTTGTAAAAAAAGGTCAACTGACTACGCGGTGCAGCACTGGTTTGGAAGACCAGAGCCAGTGGATGATTGTCGCGACTACCGACTGTCTCTTTAATTGGGGAGTTGATCACAACTCCTCTACAGCGTCTCTACGGGGAACTGAACTTCTGCAGTTTTAAACCGTAAGCAATCGTAGTTGCCGACGCTTTCAGCAATATATTTAATTTGAGCACTGTATTTACTTGTGTTAATGAGGGTGGTAACGTTGTCGAACGCTATAATATTTTGGATAATTCTTTATTTATTGAAACCTTCAATCATTACTAGTAGCAAAACTATAGAGACGATACAGAGAATGAGAATAAATCACTGAGCAAATTGCTCACTAACCTAAACTCTCACCGTACCGAAGTCCTCATATTATAAATTGAACAGGAGCACAGGTCAAACCGACCTCTAATGCCCCTTCTAATAATAAGATAAAGAATTATCACAAGCAAAACAAATAACCTTGAACAAATAAAATTCGACCAAAGAAACGCAAAACAATAAAAACTATTGAACAAAGTAACTAAAATAATAAGAAAAGAACAAAGAAATAAGCTTAAGAATTATAGAAAGGAGACAGCAAAGCTTCAAGAAAGATTACCCCAACTTTCACCTTTCATTGCGCAAAACTGAATTTCTTAATAACACCTTGCTGTTTTACACTGTCTGTCTGGCAATGATCTTCCAGTATGACCTCCAAGAGCTTCCTCTTAGGGTCATGTCTGGTCCATTATCGTCTTCGATCGTTGAGGCCATTTCGCGTGCCATCGCGACACGATTGCTCTTACAGCAACTGAATTAACTGTCGCTTGAAGTTATTTTTACCCGTATTTTTTTTTGTTTCTAACTTGATTTTAGTAATGTACGCAGCCTGGCTATGATCTTTTTATTTATTTTAATGTTGGCTCAGTTATCTAATTTTGGAACGGGGCGAAACAAGGCTGACTACAACTTTGAACGAGGCAAATGGCTGGAAAGAACCACCGCAGCAGGGATGAAATTGTCACATTAGTTGACAAATACTCTTCAAAGAACTAAAAACCGAACGGTTTGTAGTCCTGGTTTCGTTATGACGTATTAGGATTACAAAATATGAAGACGGGTCAATGCACTACTACCCTTCTTTTACTGAAAATAAAGCAACTAAACAGTAATCAGCTGGGTGGGGGGTGGGGGGGGTTGTTAAATGCATTTAAACGACTGTTCCGACGAACGACAACTGAGCGATAGGTGGAGTTTTCACCGCTGCTTCGCGGACTGTAGTGGAATTCAGCTCTTTGCTTACAGTATCTAGTTTGAAATATAATTCTTTGATCGGTTATACCAGACCGTTCTCATCTTTCTTACTGTAAGCTCCTAATAATCAACCTACTGTACTGATAAGCCTACAGTCTCCACTCTTTGGGTTACAATTCCTCATTGTATTTATGGCTGGGGTAGAAAATTAATTTATTCTTATACGGCTACTAAAGGCAAATACTGATAACAACGAGAGACACGAACTATGAAATAAAACTAATCAGAATTGAATAAATTATCAAAGGAATAATGAAAAATTTACTGGTAGATGGAAACGAATAAATATCTCTATTACTGGAAGGAACAGTTCATCAAAGTCAATAAGCAAAGTTGATAGACGTCTGAAATAAAGGAAAGGAGAAAGAATAGTCTCCTAAGATTGCTACTCAATAGAGAAATGAAATGAACGAACGGAAGAAGAATAAAATGAAAGAAAGAATAAAAGAATACATCTTTGATTTATTTCTGAAATTTTATACGTCATCGTTTTTTGGGAGAAAAAGGGTCTATTATAAGTTTTATAAGTTTTATAAGATTTATAAGTTTTCAAGGAAAAAAAGGGGTCTTTAATTTGAGGAAATTCTTTGTTTTGGGAGGTAGTTCTTACCTTCCACCTTATTACAGTAAAAATTCTCAGATTTTAATAATTTGTTAATTAATTATACAGAATTATACTATTGTAGTATAAACTACAACACGGACCGACATCGGTTCAGTTTGAAAAAAAAACGGGTTGCACTTGGCAGTTTTCATACTTTGCTCCTTCATATCAAACTGTTGTGGCATCAGTACGCTTCATTGCCTGTTAATTCAAAAGTTAAGATCTCCAAAGCTTAGGGTAGTTGCAGTAACGCAGCTTCCTGACATCATCGAACTTATAGTTTTCCTTAATACGCCTTTAAATTCGTCTGAAAAAATCATTAACGAATGGTCATCTTTCCGCAGCTTTTGTTCAGTGCCTGTTTTACGCTAACTCTTATAGCTGGTTGCGACTTTATGGTTGCGAACAACATCGCCCCTACAATAATTAAGCAGAAAGAAAATTTGAATCTCAAATAGGGTCAAAATCTTGGCTGCAAAATTGGTAAACCAAGGTGTCAGGAAAGACTTGCTTTTTTAAAGACATACTGTCGTTTGGGAAAGCGATATGGAACCAAGTCAACGATACCTGTTCGGTAATATTTTGTACCGCGTACGCTAAATGTCCCACTCTTGTTTTTCATCCAGAAGTATCGCACATTTCAAGTCGAAAAGAAGTAGTTTAAAAGACTCAAACTTGATAAACAACTCAACTTCAATTGAGGTTGAACAAATTCCGATACAAGTATCAGTTAGATCGAACTTCGATGATATTCCCGAATCGTACCAGATCTGTTTTTCACGTATCTTCCTACCCGTTTAGAGGGCTGTAAGTAAAACTATGGTTCGGACGCTATAAAGCGTCACAGTGAAGTCACTGCGGTTTTGGCAGTGCTCCACTGTTTTAAAACAATTCCTTCAGATCCTGTGTGCTTAATTGCGGGTCTTTATTCAATTGAAGCCATTGAAATCTTTGTGTAAAGGGTTTTGGAGGATCTTTCGACAGCACTATGCCTTAAAATTTCTCTTAATGGCTAGTTTTACAAATGACAAGCTTTACAGGTCTTTGAAAATGAGTTCTTGAATTTCTTGGAAGAACGTCAGCTTTGAACTTTCAGAGCTAAAAGAGCTAGTGGAACCGTGATTAATAATATTTGAAAGTTTGTTGGTGAAATCTGTGAGTAATATTTAAGATGCGTATTTTCTATTTTTCTTAACTCTGCGTTGCTATTTCTTTTAACGGTGTACATTCTGTAATACTTACTGTTTGGTGCTGACGCTTCAGTTCTGAAATTCTCTTAATCTCTTAAGAAAAGTCCTGAGGATAACCATCTAATTGCTCTTTTTTTAAAGGACAGTGAGTCATTTTATCATCCCAGAACGTGGCTTTTTTGCCTAAATTTTTCGGTGTTTCTGGATTTATACTCGTTTTATACGCTTAAGTTCCAGTGGAATTTCACTTTTTTTTTTTCTTAAGGAGGTACTGCTTGTGGTGAAGATGTGGTTGAGTAGCTGTGGTTGTTTTGCAAGGGTGATCGTTTCTCAATAAAAAAAAAAAATTTCTAGACAGTAAGGCTTTGAACTTCAGAAACACAAAGGGTCATAGGTAAAGAAGAGCCGTATATGGATTATACGATATCTTCACGGAGAGTGGAAGCGTACAGAAGCTTATGAATGAGTGGAAAGTCATCAGAAGTGAGACTTTTAAAGTGTAAGCTAGAAGTGAGAAGAATTTCCTGTTATGATAGGTGAGTTAGAAACGCAAGGGAACTAACTGTAAATACAGAAGATGAGGACAAATTGTTGAAAAAAATTTGAGTGAGAACAAGGCGAAGTTACTTCCAAAGCTGACCTCTCTCCATCAATAGAAAATAATGTTGAAGAATCCGCTTTTTCCAGAGGTTGTAGTTAACTAACACCTGACTGCTAACTTACGACATATACTTTTCTCGTTTACTGTTTTCTGTTTTGGGTCATTGAGAGCTGGACTTGGGCACTTTTGGGTCATTAGCGGACTTTTCGCTTAGCTTCTCTGAACTTAAAACTTATCTAGTTTATCGGCCTTGCGTCTTCAACAATACGTATGGTTGATTTCGTTTGCAGTGAGTTGGAATAAAA